ACAGGAATGCCATATGGTACGGTTAATCTCAAGTATGGTGTGCCGGAAGGTGAAACCAGCATCACTTGTACCGCTGGCATTGGCACTTTCTTACTGGAATTTGGTACCCTCTCCAGGCTGACGGGAGATCCTTTGTACGAAGAAGTGGCCATGAATGCTATAAAGGCGTTACATTATTATAAATCCAACATTGGCTTAGTCGGCAATCATATAGATGTTCTCACCGGTCATTGGACTGCCCAGGATTCTGGTATAGGCGCTGGAGTCGACTCTTATTTTGAGTATCTGGCCAAGGGTACATTACTGTTCCAAGACCCCTCACTGGCTTCGATATTTCAGGAGCACAAGAGGGCCATAGAAAAATATATTCGTCGAGAAGATTGGCATCTATGGGTTTCCATGACTAAGGGTCAAGTGACGCTGCCAGTTTTTCAATCCCTGGATGCTTACTGGCCTGGCGTGTTGAGTCTGTTCGGCGAGATTGCAGACGCGATGAAATCCTTGCATAATTATCATCGCGTGTGGAAACAATTCGGATTCACTCCTGAGTTCTACAATATACCGCAGGCTGAGGCGGGTACCAATAGGGAGGGCTATCCCCTGCGACCGGAGCTCATAGAATCCGTTATGTATCTTTACAGAGCGACCAGAGATCCCTGGCTGATCCAAGTGGGAGTGGATATGCTGAGAAGTTTGCAGCACAGCGCCAAAACCACGTGCGGCTACGCGACCATCAATGACGTCCGGGATCATCGCAAAGCAGACAGGATGGAGTCCTTTTTCCTCGCAGAGACTACCAAGTACCTGTATCTTCTTTTCGACACCGATAATTTTATTCATAACACCGGCTCTGAGGGCGAAATAATCGACACTCAGTGGGGTCGGTGCGTCGTGGACGCTGGCGGATATATCTTCAACACTGAAGCTCATCCAATCGATCCTGGAGCGTTATACTGTTGTCGGCCAGCGCAAGAGATCTTCCCGGACAAGAGGCCGGTTCTCAAAAGATTTCTACCGACGCAGAATACGCCGGAGGATAACATCACGCCAAACGATCTTCGCTTCGAGAAGGACGTTACCGAGACGAAAAATCCAGGTGTGCTGCCGATCACGATAGCCAAATTATCCGAAATTAGACACTACGCTGTGAATAAGAAAGAAGGCGCTGTCAATGAGAGTTTTTCATCGTCGAATGCTTCATCGCCGAGGGATTCTGCTGTAGAAAACGCGACAGTCGAGGAAGTGAAGAAATCGAATCAGACCGTTCGACTTCCAACACAGATTCTCGCACCCTCATCGACGATTTATAAAGCCGACGATAGTGACAGTTCTGACAGTTTTGAATCTCCAATATTATCCAACGGACAGTACTCGATTTCTTCGAGTGCCACGGTCCAAAATTCTGGTATCCGACAAAACGCGACCCCGAGTCCCATCAAGACCAGATTCGAGCCTCAAATAATGTTGGAGAACATCAGACGTGGAAATCTTTATCCAACAAATGTCACAGCGAGACAAAATTATCAGATTTTATCCTGTCAAGCTCAACCATTCCTGCAACGAATGTCGATCGTAGGGGAATTTTTTTAAATAACGCGTAAATAAATCGAGAATGTATAAAAGTTTGTGAATTTGTTACGGCGATTCTTGAACTATTTTTGATTCGCAAGAGAGACTGTTGTTATAAGAACGAAATTTTACACAGTCTTGTTTTGCAAACATATTGTACTTTAATATATTGCTGTGATATAATTGTTGTATAGTTTATAATAAATATAAGATATGTAAATGAAGGATCTACTTTTATCATTGACAATTTGAAGAGTCTCATATTATTAAGTATTTAATTGCGTCATCTTATATTTTCTTTTCTGCAATTTTTAAGATTGTTTACATTTGTTTGATCTATCAAAATTCAATTCTGAAAATAAAAACTTTAGTTTATGCTACCTTTTATCTGATTATATTTTCTTGTATACTTTTTTCATGTATTTTTTTCTACAACTGTCAATAGTCTTATTTATGTAATCTGCAATATATAATATATATACACATAGAAATAATTACCATCATCAGGTATATATGCAAGTATAATTTCCAACATCGGGTAATATTTGTTGTATCTGTCATATTACCGACAGTATTCTATTCAACATGGCGATGGCGAATTGTTTGTAGTTTTGCTTCATAATCTTCATATGCTTCATTATGGCTGATAAAAGACAGAATAGTTTATCAGTGAGTATTAAAACTTTGACTGCAAATTTAATTTAATTTTTGTCTATTTATAAATTGCGCTACGAAAATATTATTTATAGAAATAACAATTGTCCCATTTATTTTATACAAATTTTACGTGAGTGCATTTAAAAATAACCTCTTTATTATAAACAAATTATATTCTGTGTGTATATATATA